TAGAGAGATATACTCTTGATTATGCCCAAGCTCCTCCAATAGCATCTTCAACCAAATTGCTTCTTTACTGGCTTGTGTAGCTGCTACATATTCTGCCTCTGTTGTGGACGTAGCCACAACTGACTGCAATTTTGAAACCCAGCTTACAACTCCACCAGCAACTTTGAACACATATCCTGTAGTAGATTTGCTTTGATCCAAATCCCCTGCATAGTCAGAATCTACATAACCATTTATTAGTAAGTTTGATCTTCCGTAACATAATGCAACATTTGAGGTTCCTTTGATGTATCTCAGGATCCTCTTCACTGTATTCCAATGCCCTTTGCCTGGATTCGCCATGTACCGACTAACCACTCCCACTGCTTGTGCAATGTCTGGTCTTGTGCATATCATAGCGAACATTAAACTTCCCACTGCTGATGCATACGGTACTCGAGACATCTTCATCCTCTCTTCTTCATTGCTAGGACTCATACTGGAGGATAATTTGAAGTTAATAGGAAGAGGGGTAGAAATTGGCTTACAATCTTGCATGCTGAACCGTGACAAGATCTTCTTCAAGTAATTCTTTTGTGAAAGCCAAATCTTCCTATTACTTCTATCTCGGTGAATTTGCATCCCTAGAATCTTGTTTGCTGATCCCAAGTCCTTCATTTCAAATTCCCTAGCCAGTTCTACCTTCAATTCTTCAATATGATCTTTGTTGGGTCCTGCAACCAACATGTCATCCACATACAACAGTAATATAACAAAATTGTTATCACCAGACCTCTTGAAATAAGCACAAGGGTCTGCATTAAGTCTGTTGTATCCAAGGCACATAATGAAGGAATCAAATCTCTTATACCAATACATCGGCGCCTGCTTTAGATCGTACAAAGATTTGTTCAACCTGCAAACCAAGTTCTTCTTTTCTTTTTCTTCAAAACCTTCAGGCTGGAGCATGTAAATCTCTTCTTCAAGATTTCCATGAAGAAAAGATGTTTTAACATCTAGCTGCTCTAGATGTAAGTTCAATGTAGCACACATTTCCAAGACTACTCGAACTGTTGTTAGTCGAACCACAGGAGAAAATATTTCATTGAAATCGATACCTTCTTTTTGAGCATATCCTTTGACCACCAGTCTTGCACGATACCTCTCAACTTGATCGTCACCATTTCGCTTGATTTTGAAGACCCATTTGTTACCAATTGGCTTCCTTCCTTGTGGTAGTGGCACAAGGTCCCATGTATTATTTTTATGAAGGGCTTCAATTTCTTCTTGCATCGCCATCATCCACAGTGAAGCATCTGAGCTGTTTATTGCCTCCTGGTATGTTGATGGCTCACCGTCCTCTGTTAAAAGGCAGTATGCAATATTACCTTCTATAACATAATCTGAGTGCCAATTGGGACGTCTTCTCACACGATCTGATTGACGAGTTATTGGTGCTTCAGAACTCTCTAGTTCTTATTCATCATGTGTTGGTTCTGCTTCAGAAGAATCTCCTTGTTCAAACTCTTTTTCCACATGTATCTAAGTAGTCTCTGATTTTTCAGCGCTATCATCGTATTTTTTTCTTTGTAGTTTATCTTCTACAAAGATAACATCTCTACTGATGATCACTTTGCGGGCAGTGGGATCCCACAAGCGATACCACTTTACTCCATCAGCATACCCCAAGAATTTGCATTTCCTGGATTTTGGATCCAACTTTGAAATTTCTTGGGAGTTGTACATCACGTACACTATACTTCCAAATACATGGAGGTTTAAATAATCAACTGGTTTACCAGTCCACATATCCATTGGTGTCTTCAGCTCTATAGCAATTGATGGAGTTCGATTTACCAAATAACAGGCGGTATTGACTGCTTCTGCCCATAATGATTTTTCTAGGCCTGCATCTCTCAACATTGCTCTTATTCTTTCTAACAAGGTTCTGTTCATCCGCTCTGCCACTCCATTTTGTTGAGGAGTGTTCGCCTTTGTGAACTGTCTTTTGATGCCTTCTTTCCTGCAAAAGTCATCAAATTCTTCGCTTGTGTATTCTCCTCCATTATCTGTTCTGAAACACTTGATCTTATTTCCAGAATCAAGTTCCACCCGCGCTTTGAAGTTTTTGAAAGTTGAAAATACATCTGACTTCTTCTTAATAGGGTACACCCAACATCTCCTAGAGTAGTCATCAATAAATGTGACAAAATATTTTGCTCCGCCAAGGGATGTAACCGGTGCTTGCCATACATCAGAGTGAACCAATTCTAGAACACTTTTGCCTCTAGAATTTCAACCGGTGCCGCTTACTTGTTATGCAATGCTCACACAAAGTAAGTGATACCTTTGTTAAGCCTGGAAGTAGCTTTTGCTCCACAAGGACTTTCATTCCTTGTTCTGACATGTGTCTAAGTTTCTGATGCCATAACATTGCAAAATCTGAACTACATGAGGCAACAGAGGCTTCTGCTTCTAGCAAAGTCTCTCCATTCAGCATGTACAAGTTTGCTGCTATCTTTTCGCCTTTCAGCACCACAAGAGCTCCACAGAACACCTTCATGATTCCTTTACGTGTTTCAATCTTGCTTGCATTATTATCCAACAATCCGTAGGATAATAAATTTTTCTTCAAGCCTTTCACGTGCCGCACATCTCGAACAACTTTAATTGTTCCATCATACATCTTCAATTTGATGGTTCCCACGCCAACAATCTCCAAGGCATGATCATTACAACTATACACAGATCCTCCTGAGACAGGTTCATAATGATGGAACCATTCTCTTCTTGAGGTCATGTGATATGTTGCTCCCGAATCAATGAGCCATATATCTGCAAATCTTTTTCTGCCTTCCACGATGGTTGACGCTTCACAACATAGAGCATCTCCATCATCTGAAGTGTTTGCGGTATTACCTTGTGGATTGGAGTTTTTATTTAGACTCCAACAATCCTTCTTCAAGTGACCCTTCTTTCCACAGTTGTAGCACTTTAAATTCTTCTTGCTCCTCGACTTCGATCTACCATGTTTGTGACTGCTGCTTTGGCTACGTTCTGTTGATATCCCTCTCATCGTTGTCAACGCTTCTGCTTGTTGCAGATTTACTTGTCTGTCTTCCTTGTTCTTGCACCGATTTTCTTCTTGTAGGACAGCAGCTGCAACGTCATCGAAGACTAAACTGGTGACATTACTGTTTGTCAAGTTGATGATGAGTTGATCATACGAATCCGGTAGACTTTGAAGTAGAAGTTCAACACGTTCTTGTTCTCCTATTTTACAGCTTAAGGATGTAAGCTGAGAAAATAAGGTGTTCAGTGTATTTAAGTGCTCTGTCACTGAAGTAGATTCTGGCATACGGAGAGTGTACAATTTCCTCTTAAGGAAAATTTTATTGTGCAACGATGTTGCCTCGTACAATTTGGTGAGATGATCCCATATCTCCTTAGCTGTCTTTTTCTCCTCGATGCTTGACAATACTTCATCTGCTAATGCTAGATGAAAGTTTGCCATAGCATTCCCGTCCATCTCGTTCCATTTGATGTCATCTGCGAAATCCACCGGCCTTTCATTGATAGCCGCTAGACACCCGTCTTTCCTTAGGATGGCCTTCATCTTCAATTTCCACAATGAGAAATTTCTCCCATTGAACTTTTCAATGTCAAATTTTGTTGCCATAGCTTCTATTATTGATAGCTCCCACTATTTCACTATCGTGAATAGTTCTCTAGAACCTCAAAGAATGGGTAATACCTTCTTATTTTCTTATGTTGGAGTATCCACCTTTTGGTGGCAACCACAAAGACAATAAGCAGATATTACACACTCAAATCTTGCTCGGATACCAATTGTTGCGGAAGACGGCTATCGGATAGAGCAAAATCGCAATTGATAATTTGAGAAAATAAAAATGAAGATAAAGAAGACACAAAAATTTACGTGGAAAACCCCTAAATAATATAGGGTAAAAACCACGGGCAACGGTAGAAGAATTTCACTATGACAAAATAGGAATTACAACTTCTCTCTATCTACCAAGGAGGAAAACAATGATAATTCTCTCTTGATAAAAAGGAAAAAACAACTCTCAAAAAACTCTCTAAATTCTCTCTAGTATTATAAGAAAGCTAGAATGCTTTGGGATGATTTTGAAGCTAAATGAGATAGGATATTTATAGCTAAATCTTAAGGACTTAATCTTGTAAATACCCTAAAGTTTAATGACTAAAGTTTGTAATTTGACCATATAAAAAATCAATAAAATTGGCTTTTAATATTTATTTTTCAAAGCCACCGACTGCTAACTAGCAGTCCATGTGGTTTTTGATTTTTCAATAGAAAATACATCTAGGAATGTGTTTTTTAAAGGTGCTTGGGAATCCTATGCAATTATATGTTTTAGTGGGTACAAGAAGATGATGGATTTTTTGGAATCCAAATAGAATTTATATATTCGATTAGGCATCAGTGAGTTTAGGAAATTTATGTATCTAAATATAAGTTTTAGTGGTTTGTTTATGATATCTCATTTGGGAAATATATATACGTATATAAAGCATTTGGGAAATATATATACGTATATTACTTTATAGTAATTCAGATTAATTACACGAATTTCATCCTTCGATCGTAACATGATAGTTAACAGTAAATGTCAGACACAAAATTGAATCTGTTGCTGTCCTCCTCTTTACTCAATAAATTTTATATTATGAATATATTATGTTCAATTTTTAATTCCCCTTATTATTACTTAGTTAACATTAATTAATACTTAAGATCATCTGCTGTATGCAGGAACAAAATGAACTAAGAGAATTGTTATTATTTACTAAAGTCTCGAGTTCGAAATCCAGAAATATTTATAAAAGTAGTTTCAAAAATATCATGGGTTAAATAGATGTTTATTAAATGGTTAAGAGTTATCTTTGAACATATACCATCTTACTGTGTTTATTGTTTAATGCAAAAGGAAAAAAAGTTCTTTATACGATAGGGTTATGATAGTTTTATTCCTAATTTAAGACCTAACATAACTTCCCATCCTGACCACCATGCCATCAATGTCTCTCACATACCCCACCCTTTGTCCCCACTCCTCCTTGTCCTCCGGCTGGCTCACTGGCACTGCCCCATTCTCCACCGCCCGCTGTTCAACCACAATGAACATCATCTGTTATTGAAGATTATGATTCTTTTAACCTCTATTAAAATCTTTATTTATGAATAAACTATGATAAAATTAAATATGAATGCATATTTAATGAATAGAAAAAAAGAGCAGTATATAGTAAGACGAATTGGCAATCACTTAAACCTTGAATGCAGCATCAAGGTCAGGGTAAATAAGGCAGAGTTCCATTGGGGGGCGGTGGAGATCAGATTTAGGTAGTTGGACTGCACCAGTTAGATCATCGGTTTCGTGTTGGTGCTTTGGGGTAAACGCAATGGTGCTCTGTCCACTCTCCAGCTCTCCCCACCTGCTGTTTTAATCCCAAGAGTACAAATAATTCATCAAAGCCATTTGGAACATCCAAAGTCACATGCATATATATATACAAACCTGTGAGACTCGTCCAAGCGACGAACATTGTAGCCAAAGGATTTTGCATAGAAATCAACAGATTTGGCTACGTCCCTAACGTAAAATATGGTGAAACCCAGCACTGGGTTTAGACCAGACGCCATTCTTTTTCTTCTTTTAATCCGAAAAAATGTTTGATTTTCTTGATCTCAACCAGAAAATGTCACAAAATATTTAAACACCGTTTCTCTTTCGCCTTCCACAGTTGTTTGTTTTGAGTTGATACGAGGCTCTTACACGTGGGCAGTAATTTGGTTCTATAACAGCGTTTTTAAGCGCCACTAAAAGCACTTGCGGCGATAGGAAAAACGCCGCAAGAAGCGCCGAAAATACCAGCGTCGCTAAAGTTTGCGGCGTTTGAGAACAAAAAACGCCGCAATAGGTCAAGATCTATAGCGGCGTTTTTTGAACAAACGTCACAAAAGATCTATATCTATAGCGGCGTTTTTGGAACAAACGCCGCAAAAGGTCGATATCTATAACGGCGTTTTTTGGAACAAACGTCGCAAAATGTTGAGATCTATCGCGGTGTTTTTGGAACAAATGCCGCAAAATGTCGAGATCTATAGCGGCGTTTTTGGAACAAACGCAGCAAAAGTAGCGTCGTTTTTGGAACAAACGTCGCAAAAAGTCAGATTTATAGCGTCATTTTTGGAACAAACGCCGCAAAAGGTCAGATTTATAGCGGCGTTTTTGGGACAAACGCCGCTAATTACCTTTATTTAGCTAAGATTAATTGATTTTGCATATTTCATTTCTGCTCTACATCATCTAAATTTAATAACATGTAGCTTTATCTAATTAACAACACAAGTTATGCAGAAATATACTTAACAACAAAATAAATTAAAATTTATAAACATTAAAATTAAATGTAATGTAATTTGACATTGTTCTCTATAATTTAGTCTAGGTGATACATACATAAAAAATTAATCCCCGGAAATTCCATCCACCACAAAATCTTGAAAACAAAAGTAGGAATGTAAAAATGAGTTCCATATCGTCTGGATTCATACTTGTGGCACTTCAGTCTTGGATCTCCTCATTTTACTATCTTCTCTATCGAACCTAATTGATGGACCAGAATTCAGTTGTGCCTGTCAAAACGAGCTTTCTATCTCAGGGTCATAAATAAAAAAAGAATCAATGATGCTGATATAAATGATCAACTGAAGTAGAGTTAATTATCCAATCTATTCAATCTTCACTTACTTGAGGAGCATTTTGCAAAGGCTGCAAAGTGAAATAAAGGACCAACAAAGAAAAATAAGCAGTGAAAAATAATCACAATCAACAAACCAACTCAAGAAATATATGAACATCGAGTTTAAACATAGCTTACTGCAGGTGTTGTAAATGACAATTGAGATGACATTTTTCTACTAAGTGCACTCAGCAAAGCTTGCTTTCTCAAAACCTTATCCTCGGTTTCCATGTCTGAAATCTTGTCTTCTAACCAGTTAAAAGATATAGACGATTATTTGCATGGAAGATAAGCAGTTCAAGTTGAAGAATGAACAATCCAATTGACTTAACATTCATACTAACTTAAACACCAAACATCTATTAGCACAACACAAAATTAGGATAAAACCTTTTCATCACAGTTTTTAAGTCAATTATCCTCATCTCAGCCTCTGTAGCCTGCTTTAGCCGCACTTCGCAAATCTGTTCTAGTGTAGCTACATGAGCCTGAAATGGAAGTTTGGTAAAAAAAATTATTTCAAGACATAAATGAAAAATCACTAACTTTAAATGACATTTAACAAGCCTGCAGTCCAAGTAAAGTCCTTTATTCGGAAGTAACAAATATCTAACAATACCTTAAGCTGTTCATTTTCAGCAGTAAGTTTATTCATCGTTTCGTTGTCAACTACCGTGACCCCTTGAGTGACAGGAACTTGTCCGGAAGTTTTGTTTTCGCCCCAATTTTCTTTCTCACGTTGCAACTTCTGCAACTACCATGTAAGTTCTTCAACTTGCTTTTTCCAGCTGACAGTTGGCCTCTAGCAGGGATTCAGTTTTTTGGGCAGCCTGCCGACAATCATGGATAATCAATTGTAACAATTATGCACATACTTTCACCTCATGGATAAGCCTATGAGATCATCACATCAAACAGGTGAATACACTGGAAAACTGTACTGGAATCTCTTGATCATCCAGAATGGAAGTTAGCAGTTTTAGAGAAGAAAAGAGTTAAGTGAACCAACAGATAAGAAGAGAGAACATTTTTTTGGAACCAAAAGGTGGATTAACTAACTAATTATTTAGGGATCTATAATCTACATCCTATTCCTGCTACTATGGTGATTGAACCATCAGTTATTGAAATTTTCCTATTGATTGGACATGGAGAATTAGGATTAAACTTTAAATGGATATTTTCCTATCGATTACCAATTCAATTGACTGAATAAGGACTAAACCATGGATTTAATATCACATGGCAGTAAAGTACATTAGTCAAAACCAGCATCTATTAAGAACTTGTTGAAGGAAATTGAGAACATTCGTATGCAAGACATCATGAGCTTAAACTAATTTAATAAAATGAAAAAAAATAAATGAGAAATCACCATTTTTAGTTTGCGTAATTCTCTACGCGCAAGTTTTTCTCTCCAAGCACATTGTGCGACGAGTGCAGCTCTCTTTAACCTTTTGTAATAACGGCTCACCAAGAATCGACGACCTTGACTCTGTCACGGACATGAAATCACATGGTATCAGTATGCCGATATAGCAAAAATAACAACCAGACATCGTAAAAACACTTGTCATCAACATTATTTCTTTTGCTAAACCAACAAGCATCCACGTTTAATGCAAAACAACTAAGATAAAACTTCATCGAAGAGATGAAAATTCCTAAAAAGGAGTAAAATCAGAAATAAAAGGAAAACAACTAACTCTATTAATATTCATTAATTGAAAGAAATACATATACCATCATATAATCCCTTTAGTCCTTGCTCTTTCCATAATGAACATCCAACTTGGAACATTCCAGTGTAATAACCATACATTTGTTCACCAGATTTCATTCGCAATTGGTCATTCATGATAGCATAATTCCTAGAGTTTCCTGAGCCTTGAACCTGCATGTGTTGCTTAATCACTTCACATGGAACATATACAAAAGAACCAAGTGTATCACCTGAAAATCAGAGAAATACAAGATAGAAATCAGAGATCATTTGTGCATTTCAAGCAATATCAGATCATACAGAGAAGATGAAAAGTGGGGATAACAAAGTAAATTTTTGCAAAGGTGAAGCTACTAATATTGATAATGCGAATTAAAGTTTTCAGCAGGATACTCCACTAGGGTTCTCCTTTCCTCTAAATACATCTTTGGTTTCACCTGCTGCTCCAACTGCTACAGGTTTCCTCAACCAAAAGTTTGTCCATCGAAGTTTCCCAATGTGGTTGTTGCTAATCAGCAGAAGAGATTCATTTCCCGTTTGCCGGTTTCATATGGAATACCACTCCCCTTTCTGTAGCAGTTTGGATCACCACAAGATGAAAGTTTAGAAACTTGGAGGCTAGCCCCTGGCATGCCTTTCCACCCATTTCCGCCTTTGCCTCCATGTCCCCCTGATAATAAAAACATTCAACCCACTTCTTCTGCTAATTCTATCGGCACGAGTTATCCCGTTGAAAGCATTCCAAGCACAGCTGGTGGAAACCACCCAGAGTCTGATAACTCAGGTACTAACATCCAACAGACATTCAAAAGAACAAGAGAATCCTCGTATGATTTGGGTAAGATGTACTTCAGACAACAGAAAAGAAAAGGACTGCCGTGGGATAAATCGGAAATCAACTGCTGCATAAATGTAGGACATGTAAACAATGAGCCCATAAATTCATGTTATTTAGATGATATAAACCAGTAGAGTTGGAGTCAAGGTTGCAATGATATTTTTCTGTAATCATTGCCGACCCAAATCAACATTGCTTTATAGAAAAAAATTCTAAATTCTGATAACTTAAATTTTATTTCATCTTAATTCTTTCATACATTTGATGTATTTCCCTCAATTCTTTATTTCCTGTGTCTAAGTTCCAGTAGAAATGTGTAACCCTATTCGATTACCAACTTGTGAAGGTAATTAATTGCTGGGTCTAAGTTTCGAGCACCAGTCTCAGACCTCCTATGTTCTCACCAAACGTTGGTTCAAACCACAAATCACCTTCAGCGAAGAGTACTTCTCTATACTATATTATTGAATTCCAACCCAAAACCAATACGACTATGCATACAAAATTTACAATAGTTCGACAGCTTTTCCATTTTAAATGACAAATAAAACTTAAAATATATTAAAAACCAACAAAACAACAGCTAGAACAAAATTCACAAATAAACCCTAAAAGTCATAATAAAGCATATAACAGAAGTGAAATTCAAATCTAAAAACCCTGAAGTGTACGAGAGAGTGAGAGAAATGAAAACGTTAGGGAAAAAAATAAAAAAAACTAGGAGGAGAAGCCTGACCTGCAATAAAAAAGAAAGAGAATAGCATACATTGAAATAACAAAGCTTGAAATTGCTGAAGAATTCATTGACTGTTTCTTCGATTGATTTTTGCTCAGATGACGATTTCAACAAGTTCAATATGTTACATTGTTCTTCGAAATTCAGCATCTTATTCCCCAATCTTTTTTTGCCTGAAATTTTCTAGCGATATTTAGGGTTTAGAGTAAAGAATCCTTTCCTGAGTGAGTTCCTATGGATGAGAATCCAATGAATTCAGATATGTTACTATTTATAATTTTTATATTTAATTAGCTATTAATAAGAACCCTTCAAATAAGAATCGAAGACTAATAAGACTCTGTTGGCTTTATTTATTTAGCGGAGTTTATATAAATATGCCACTAATGTACAAGTATTTAGCGGCATTTATATAAAAACGCCACTAAAGTACCAGTATTTAGCGGTGTTTGTGCTTAAAACGCCACTAAATTACAAGTCTTTGGCGGCATTTTTATACTAATGCCACTACAATACATTATTTAGCGGCGTTTATATAAAAACACCACTAAAGTACCAGTATTTAACGACGTTTGTGCTTAAAACGCCACTAAAATATAATATTTAGTAGTGTTTATATAAAAAAATGCCACTAACGTACGAGTTTTAGCGGCATTTATATAAAACGGCACTAAAGTACGAATATTTGCCGGCGTTTGTTTAAAAAACGCCACTAAAAATGCCGCTAAAAACCCATTTTGCTGTAGTGGTGGTATGCATGCAAATGATGGTTGATTCAAGGAAAAATTATTAAATGAATCCGCTCATCATATCATTCATGATATCAATCAAAAATATTTTTTTTTGTTCAAGGTGAATCTTCATTTCTTTTCTATGTAAATAAATAATGAGTAATTACTAAAAATTTATATTAAAATTAATAAATATGATTCCTTAGAATCATAGATGATATGATAAATCGAGCCCATAAAATAATTTCTCAGTACCTGGACTATGACAATTGTCAGTTTATCGGTTATTCATCGTATCCAAATTTAACCATAAAACTTTTATTAAATAATATTTTCTTTGATTTTATCTTTTTAGTATTTTAATTTTTAATATTTGATTTTAAGATAAAATAACTTTTGTTTGAATAGAATCTAGTAAATGAACTAACGTGATATTCATTTAAGCCTAAAAAATTTACGTTGATTATATTATGTTAAATGTTATTTGATAAGGTAAAAGATATTCTTTAAAAATTGGATATTAATTTAAGTATTGAAAAAATAAAATCTTATCATCCATTAAATAATGAGAATTAGGCAAGCCGAGATTTTCTAATAATTTAAAAGGATCAAGAAGGAAAAAAAAGTAAGCGCGACAAAAATAAATGCAATTACACGTCAATTATATTTTTTTGATAAATTATTTCATGGATCATTTTCACTTTTTCATCAATAATTCAACTACTTAAAAATAATCACATCAATATTTTTCTCCATGTCGTTTATATATATGGATTTTATTTTTCATATCAACTTATTCATTAATGCATATTAAAATAGCATTAAACTTAAATTTAAAAATTATTTTTAAAATCTTCATTAATGGGTATTTCTTCTCCACCAAAACTATCTTCTTTCTCTTACTCTATTATTTTTCTTCTCAATCAAGTTGTTACTTTCACCATTAGCTCCTACCTCATTTCACCAAGCTTCCATAGCTTGTATTGTAGGATGATTTTGTTCATATACACACAGGTTTTCCATAAGAACTCGAATTGTATTTTTTATCTTCTGTTTTTCCTTAAAAAGTGTGATTTCCATATTCAAGTAAATAATCTTATAAGCTGAAGCAAAACAGTCTAAGTATTTAATTTTTTATTTTTAAAATATGTCTGCAAGTCTACTTACTACTAGCTAACCACTGCTTAATCTGATCTAATAATAATTTCGAGCACTATGTATCATAGATTGCCTTCTCAATTCAGGTTCTTATGGAAAGCCTATGTGTGTATGTATAAAATGTTATTTCAGATAACATGTGTTCAAAATTTCAAGTATTTTTTTTACTTATAAACAGTGTTATTTTAATAAGTCGACTGGGAAGAAAACAATGGAACAAGAGAAAGAATAGTTTTGGTGGGAAAAAAAAAGTGTATTAATGAAGATTTTAAAAATAATTCTTAAATTCAAGTTTAATTTTATTTTAATATACATTAATAAATAAGTTGATATGAAAAATAAAATCCATATGTATAAATGATATGGAAAAAAATTGGAGTGGCTATTTTTAATTTGTTTGGACCATGTGGTGAAAATGATTTATGAAATAATTTTCTGTTTTTTAACGTTGACTTTATACACGTGGCAGCGACAAGATACGAACATAGGCTTTCGAGTCAACTGACAAGGTAAAAGAAAAGACATCGTATTTCTGTCTTGAAAACGCAAACGCAAAGAATCCGCATTAATTGCCACTAATAATGATAATTTATAATAATCTCCCTTAATTTCCCCCCTTAAACACACTTGAATTTAACTTACCTAGCAGAGTAATTATTGATTAACAAAATTCCTAATCTCTCGATTCTCTAATCTCAAAAAACCCAAGGCCCACCCTTCAATCGCGTTTGTTTTAGGTAATTAAGATGGAAAATTAAATGATTGAAATCTGGGGTTTTGATTCAGTTTGGTGTCTGATCTGTATTGTTTATGATTGTTATCGAGTATCTATCATTCAAAGCTTTCGCTTTTCGTAATCATGAAGGTTTTTCGATTCAACCAGTTTTTAATTTTTGAAAATTTATTTGATGGAAGAAGTTCCGAATTATGGAACCATTCTTTAGGCTAAAAATAAGGCTATTTTTGTGCATGTAAGAGATCAATCTCACTTCAGTAGTTTTGTTTGATCAATTCCTAGAATTCTTAATCAGGTCTTCTATTTTAGTCTCTGATCTAAAAAAGCATTTCTTTTTTCCCCTTCAAATCCATGAAAGGAGTTATCTTTCAGTTGTGTTTTTGTCTTTTTTCTCCTCAATCAGGTCCCTTTCTTTGGCAGGTTATTGAGGTAAAACGCAAGATCTGAACAATGGCCACAAATTCATCCAATGGGGAACAACAAACATCCTCAAAGCCACCACCTTTGCCATCTCCATTGCGCTTTTCTAAGTTTTTTCAGGTGTGTTTTTTGGCATTTAATGTAATGCTAAAATGTTGGTATTCTTTATCATGTTATTGCAGCTTTTATTTCTTCGTGTTAATTGAAAGCTAGTGACTGTGATGTTTTCTGCAGCTGGGCGGTAGCTTTTCTTTGTGAAATACAACCTGTTAAAATGCTTGAATTACCTTAGCCTTTGGTTATGGGCTTATGCTTAGGGTGATACTTTAATTAGATTAATTTTAAGTAGGGCAGACATCGTAATGTCCCACAGATATAACTATCGATTCAGGTGTGAACATACAATGGCATTCATCTTTCTGAATTTGTACTCTCACTAATATGTTTGATAGTGTGTTGACATTCTTATTTAGTAGTGAATCTGTTCAGTGATTGTTAATGTTGTAAAATGTTCAAAGAAAATTGTTGGCTGGCCATGTTCGAAAAACCGTCCTCTTGTTTCTTGGTTGCTTGATGTGTAATTTTCTGTCTTTTCTGAATAAATGCCATGAGATAATTTAGAGTAACATTAAATTAACTAATTCTTCGAAACCAATGCATCCAGATTTGTTTATAACCTTGTTCGTGATGATTCCTGAACAAATCCTAATATTTTTTCCTTCCTGATCAAGTAGCTCTAGGGTTCTAGAATCCTTTACCATTGTTATGTATTCACTATTCAGCTTAGATCCGTGAACACTGCCTCAATAACTTGTTTATTTGCATAGAATTCTTGTTGTTCAGTTTGGATTATAGTTTAAGTTCTGTCATTTATGTTTCATTTATATCTCTAATGTTATATTTTACTGTTAATGACAGGCCAACATGAGGATCCTGGTTACTGGAGGAGCTGGTTTTATTGGTTCTCACTTAGTTGACAAATTGATGGAAAATGAGAAAAATGAGGTTTGGAAATTTTCTTATCACATCCAACCTCCCCTGTTAAGAAATTATTTTAGCCGAGTCAATATGAGTATTTGACCCATTTACTCAAATTATTATGTTCTTCACAATTATACCAGGTGATTGTTGTCGATAATTTCTTCACTGGATCAAAGGACAATCTTAGAAAGTGGATTGATCATCCCAGATTTGAGCTTATTCGTCATGGTAATTTCTTATGGTTTCTAACCATATGTGCTTAGACTTGAACTGAACTCGATGGGTTGGGTTAAAGACTGTCGAGATGGCAGTAGACTATATTCGGACGAGCAATTTTGAGAAATTTGGCATATTTTTGAATTTTTCTTCTTGGCAGATGTTACCCAGCCGTTGCTCGTTGAGGTTGATCAGATTTACCACCTTGCATGCCCGGCTTCTCCAATTTTCTATAAATACAATCCCGTGAAGGTCGGTGCTGGTATCTTTCGATTGTTTTTTTTTTTTGAAATATTTGTGAGCACTTCTTTAATTTTACTTTATATTTCCATAGACAATAAAGACAAATGTCATTGGCACACTAAACATGCTGGGACTTGCCAAGCGAGTCGGAGCAAGGTTAGGGAATGCAGTTCATTATAAATTTATTTAAATTACCCTTCAACACTGGCTCTACTTAATTGAGATTTTGCGGAACAGGATCTTGCTCACATCAACTTCAGAGGTATATGGAGATCCCCTTACCCATCCACAACCAGAATCATACTGGGGTAACGTTAATCCAATTGGTAAGTTTCCTCGGTTGAAGTCTGAGCCACCTTTATGAATTCACTCTTCTTGCTGGACAGTTTTGCTTGAACCTTCTGCACTTGTGAAGATAGAATATCTTCTCTAGAAGATAAATTCTTGCCATTAATATATTTAATTTCTTTCCATACGAATCTGCTGTTAGTTGATACTGTGTAATGTCAAATGGACTTTGGAAGTTGGCTTGGCCGGATGTTTAATCTTGTCAGAGAATCACATCGGCACCGAATGCTTCTTTTGTCTTATAGGTGTTCGGAGCTGCTATGATGAAGGAAAGCGTGTGGCTGAGACCCTAATGTTTGATTATCATAGGCAACATGGGATAGGTAAAATTTTCTCTGTTTGCCTATATGATGTTATCCTATAATTATTATTCTTGATATTGTCCTTTTATGGTTTACCTAGAGATACGCATTGCTCGAATCTTCAACACATATGGGCCACGGATGAACATCGATGATGGGCGTGTTGTCAGCAATTTCATTGCTCAAGCACTTCGGTAAATTTTTTCTTTTAATGCGCTGTATGGTTGTTATCATTATCATTGCTCTTCTTTTATTCTTGGTTTTATTGTCAACGAGACAACTACCAGCTTAATTGTAAAACTACAAGACAATTATTTCCTATATTCTGTTACTTTTTAGTCAACCATATAAGCAATTTTTCATTGTTTTTCCACTGAGCTATTGTCTCTCATTTGACATCCCTTTTGCGCTTTGTAGTGCTGAACCACTAACAGTTCAAAAACCCGGGTCACAAACTCGCAGTTTCTGTTATGTATCGGACATGGTATGTGACAGCTGTAGAACTCTTGACTAGCTTTGATTCATTTGGGTATCTCTCTACCTTAAAAGAATTAGAGTATTTGTGTTTATGTGTAGGTTAATGGCCTTATTCGTCTCATGGAGGGGCAGAACACTGGTCCCATCAATATTGGGAACCCAGGTTATCCAACGGTCACTGTGACATAATCTGTTTGGCTTATGGCCATTGTCATGTATTTTCTGATTTTAGATGCCTTTTGTTCTGTTTTAGGTGAATTTACAATGCTCGAGCTTGCCGAGACAGTTAAGGAGGTGAGTTCCGTATTCTCTCTGCTTTTTTTTACCCTCCATGCATCACTTAAGATAAATCACTTGTTTTTCTTGACAATGTTTTATGGTGTGCATATGTTACACAGCTTATTAATCCTAAAGTGGAGGTAAATATGGTGGAGAACACTCCAGATGATCCAAGGCAGAGAAAACCCGACATCACAAAGGCAAAAGAAGTGCTAGGTTGGGAGCCGCAAGTCACGTTGCGGGACGGGCTTCCGCTCATGGTGGAAGATTTCCGATCAAGGCTAGGAATCTCAAAAGCTTAACCTATTAGTAGTGAATTATACTACTAGAGGAGGATATTTCACTGCCGGCCAGAACATTATCCGCAATCTGTGTGTTCTCCCTTGGGCCCAGATTAATCTTTTATTCCATCATACCAAAAAAAAGAGAAGAAAACCCATAACCATTGAACATGGGAATTTTGTGCTGCTATTTTAATTTTCGGCCCTTACAGATGATGGTGAATTTGTTTGCTGCTGCCGTTAATAAAAAAAATATCTTGATTAGCTCTCTTTAATAATATCTTTTTCTGGGTTAGTTATGCGCTTTTCAACAACGCCTCTGCCCAACATAGGGTGAAATGATGTACTTCAACGACTTGAACAAGCATTGCATCTTTAAGCATCACAAAGCTCATAACTAAAAACTTGTGATCAGTGGCACAAATTGCCATGTTTATTGTTATCAAAATGATTATACAAATATCAAGGCCTAAACACTAACTGGAAAAAGGCGCTTTAACATTGTTCAAAGACAACCATTAATGATATCACAATTCACAACTGGTGATTTCTTGACGTTATTATTATAGCTCATCGCAAAACGACAACCAAAAGCCTCAAACCAGATGAGTATCTGGAATCAGCAGATCACCTGAATACCAAACGCGAATTCAATCATTTCGTTTAGTAAATTTTCATTTTTTTTAAAAATGAGATGAAATGCAGGGAATCCGATTCTAGGGCTTACCTTGTGCTTCTGAGCGAAAGGTGAGTTCTCGACATCTTCCTCTGCAGAAAAAAATGTAAATTAAAGAAAAAGGTAATTAATAAAAGAGACGAACAGTATCGTTTACAGCATACAAGGGCGTATAAAATAATGAAATGTAGAGATGGAAAAAAAATGATGTTACCGGTGAGGCCAAGGGAGAACTTGGTGATGATGGTTCCGGTTACAGCGAAACCAACAAGGAATGGCCACGTCCGGTTGAACCCTTTCTTGAAGAAAACAGGCCATGGATCGAACCACCTCTTCATCTTCCTTCTTTTCTCTTCTTCTGATTCGTAGTTTCTCTTTGCTTTTGGAGGCTGTAAAGCGTGAACGAGGAGAACGGGTTTTATAACAATGATTATCATGGCCACTGGATGGTTGGCTGGGTTTCTGAGTGAGTATTTCATGGGCTTGGTCATACTAGGTCCAGCCTATTTCGTTAATAAGCCCAACTCCAATTAATTTTTTATAATAAATATTTGGGTAAACTAAGTGTTTAGTACATAAACTATCAGTTTTCATCCGTTTTAGTATTTTAAACTTTCAAAATTTTCAAATTCATACATAATATTTAGTTTTTGTTTTTTTAGTACCTTGCCGTTAAAAAATTAACACGTATAGTAGCTAAACAATCAGTTTTGGTCCATTTTAGTACCTAAATTTTTAATTTTTTTCCTTCAAAACTTAGCGTTAAGTTTTTAACAGGTACTAAAATGAAACAAAAACTAAACGTTAGGTATGATTTTGAAAAAATTGAAAGTTTAGGCACTAAAACATATCAAAAACTGATAATTTATGTAGTACCCCAAAAATCGGGTCAGTGACTGAAATGTAAGGATTTAAAATTTAGTGGTTAAATTTGATAAATTGAAAAGTTAAAGGACTAATTTTGGAAATTTGTGTCTAGGACTTATTAGCAAAGATGGAAGAGTGGAAGGGCATTATGGTCTTTTATCAAGAAATAAATTTAAAACTCATTTTAAAGGATATTTAACATGTGAGGATAAATAAAGGGAAGATATTTCTGGAAGCTTGGTTTTCTTCTCTTATTCTTTTTCTTCTTTTCCACTGTGACTCCATTGCTAAGGTGAGATATGTTTCAAGTTGATTTTTTTTTTTGATTTTGAGTTGGTTTTTGGTTCATGGGTGGTATAGAAACTTAAAGAATCTTTAAAATGAATAGAAACTAAGAGATTTGATGTATTATAGATGAATTAGGAAAATGGGTTTTTAAGGGATTTGATGAGATTGATTAGTATTTGGAGTTCTAATGATATATTTGACTTGCCAAGTGTTTAATTAAGATGTTTGAAGTGTTAGAAAGGATTAAGAATATGGTTGATTAACGAGTATGATTTTAGCTTAAAATATTCTATGGAGAACTTTAGGATGTTAAAAGAGGATTAATGGATATAAGTTGTGTGAGATAAATATTAGTAAGTTTAAGGGTTTGATTGGAGATAAAACTTAAGATTTAGGTGAAGTGTAGGTAAAATTCAGAGTGAAAGAGGTAAAATCTAGGTAAGGGTATCGGTACTGGAAGAACAGTATCGATACTATAGGGTTAAATTGAAAGAAATGATATGAATCGGATGAACAATATCTATACTGATTGAAGTAGTATGATACTAATGTGGATGTATCGATACCAGGAGTAAGGTATCGATACTGTAATTGAAATGAAATTCTAGAATGCCAAAATGGTATTGATACTGAAGTGGGTATCGGTACCACATAAGAGAAGTATCGGTACTATAGGAGGGGTACCGATACTATTCAGTCTGAAATTTAAATTAGGAGTTTTCGTTTTGTTTTTGTAAGTGTTAATTGGTTACCCGTTAACAAAAATTCGGTATTGATATTGGACATGTCTATGTGTAGATTTGGATCGAAACCGTACCAAAGGAATTGAAATAGTACGAGATTGAATGAAAGAAAAAGGATTCCGTTTAGGACTTACGTGAGGCAAATGTGAGTGCAATTTATTGTTTTATAATAGACATGAGGACAACTTGCGATAAGCCAACCTCAAAGGTATTCGATCGAAAACTGTTTTATTTTATTTATTTATTTATTTATTTTATGAATTATTTTTATGATGCTTTATATAAAGTGCATTTCAAAGTATTGTTTTGAGTTATTGGTATGTGAAAAATGTTATATGTGAATATGTTTTATATGAAAATGCTCTATGTAAAAATGTGTTAAGTGAAAATGTTCTATACGAAAATAACCTATGTGAATGTACACTACGTGGATAAAACACACTTTGAATAAAGTAATGAAATCTAATTATAAAGCTAAAGCACAAAGTATATGTATGAGAATTAGAGGTATAGTTGGCATGCCAAGAGTCGAGGGTTCTACGCGGTCCTTTGAGATAAATTTCTACGTGGTCCTTTGGGACAGATTCTACGCGGTCATTCGGGACAAATCTATGTGGCACTTCGGTGTAAATTATATGAGTAGTGGTGACTGCATTATGCACAACCTCAATGTACTCAGATACCTTGAGTTCTCAATAATATGAGTTGGGCTCTATAAACAAATTTATATGAATTGAACAATGTATAAGATTATAATCACGTGTATGAAAGTTATATGGATTTCCTTGATCAATGTTTCTTGAAAGTGTTAAGTAAATATTTTATTTCTTTATACTCATTATTGCATCACTAAGTCAATGACTTAGCGTGTGATTGTTTCACACGTAGGTTCAAAGAGATTCGAGGGTTAAAGCTAGGAGAGTACATCATACTCCTGAAGAAGATCATATCAGAACAATTTGAACTGTAGGTTTCTTATTATTATTTTGTGATTTTGTTGGCATGTATTATAAAGTTTTAAATTGTAATGCTCTGATCTGTTTTGTAATGACACTATTTGAAGTTTATAAATATATTAAGTATTTATTTTCATTATGATTATTAATATTCAATGTAAATGTTTGTATAAGGGTTCACCTTTAAAATGCAAATAAAAGTTTTAAAATTTTAACGAGTTTTCAAAGAGGAAATGTTTTAAAAAGTCAATGTGACACTTCAGATTCGTATCCGAGTCAGATTCGTATCCACGTGCTTATTACCCTTTTTAAAGGGAAAATAAAATAATATTCCCTGAAAAATGACCATAATACCCTTATTACTTTCAAACTTTGTTATTAAATCCAACATCAACACTTTTCATTTAAATCCCTGAACTTTCCATCTTTTCTGAAATTGGTCACTAAATTTACCAAAATTCTATTTTGGTCATTAACCCGACTTTTAGGATGTTACAGAATGGGTTTTGATGTATGAGTTGGTGTGAACAATAAACCAACCTACTTCTCTCATCTCCCAATTTTCAACTTCTACATAGCACGAAGCTAAGGACATGTTTGTTTGATCCCCAAGGATTAAGGTCGGCAATCACATGAAACACAATCTGTATTCATCTCGACTGTTGTTGAAGGAGAGAGGAAGAAAGAAAGTGGAGGAACATTATACAATCCCATATTAGTAGCAAACAAGCAGCTCGGGGTTGGTAACTTATATAAAAGAAGATGGGGGAGAATAGGTTTAAGCATCTTTGCGCTTGGGGCAATGTCGAGCTTGAATCGAGCTCAGAATCGAGCTTGAAGTGAGCTCAGAATCGAGCTTCAATCGAGCTCGAGTCTCAAGTTTTAATCGAGCTCTTAAATATTTTTTGAGTTCGAGCCTTTTCGAGTTCGAGTCGAGTTTCAATATTATATTTTGAGTTTGAGTCGAGCTTGATAATTTTAAGCTCGCGAGTTTTCGAGTCAAGTCGAGCTAACTTTGAAAGTTTTCGAGTTCGAGTCGAGCTCGACTCAGATCGTTTACACCCTTAGGTAGGGTCTCCAACGTTTAGGTTCATTTATGTTCGTGTTCGTTTATGTTCGTGTTCGTTTATGTTTGTTTATTTATTAAATGAACGAACATGAACAAGTTATATTCCTTAATAAACGAACATGAACAAAAAAAATTGTTCGTTTATGTTCGTGTTCGTTTATGTTTGTTTATTTATTAAATGAACAAACATGAACATACCTCCGTTCGTGTGTGTTCGGTTCATTTACAAGCCTAGTTTTATTTGTTAATTTGTTGCTATATATATTGGTTTGTACAGTTTGATGTTGATCGACCGTTTAACTCCTTAAAGCCTACTATTGATTATACCCTTTTCTTTTTGGATAAGCATTGATCTCATATGTTAACCAAGAAAACGGTCAAGATTGTTACACTACAAAGATCACATGCCCCATCTGTATCAATTATATCCTCAATGGGCAACCTATCAAGGATCGTCATCCAGTTAATAACAACATGCTTGGTAATCATATACATGAATGAATTGTTCCTCCAATTAAAACTTTGTTTTTTGTTTGAAAAAGATAATTTATATTGATTAAACCTGAACTATATATCCCATTAAAAACCTCCCTAGGTCTAAATGAAGGAAAAGAGTACACATAGCAAGGTGAACGGGATACAAGACAAGAGGATAATACAACTAGAACTAATAGCAATACAAAGAAATCCAATTTTTAAAGAGCATGAAAACGAACTACTACATTGACAACCAAATTCAAACAATTAACATTGAAGTAATAATCTGTCACCTTTAAACAACCACAAGACTCTCATCTTCAATAGCAAAAAAATCCAACCAATTAAGAGCTACAGTTCACCCAAAACAATGCACAATCGTTGCCTGAGAACACAAACATCTTGGTAGCAAGTAGCCACAAACACTCCAATTGAAATATTGAATACGACCGAGGAGGCTAGATGACATATCTTATTCATGTAAGATCGGAGTTGTTCTAATTGTCAATCAACTTGATTATTGAAAGGTTATTTAGAATTTAAGGATGGCGGTAAGGGGTTAGTTAGCAATAGAGTTTGATACCAGTGGGCAAATGATCGACAACAATGGTGGTAGTGACGGTAGTCGGCAACAACAATGATGCTTGGAGTTTAAAATTTCTAGGGTTTTCATGATATTTTAGAAATATTAGATTAAATAATGATAATAACTTTAAATTTTTTTGAATAAATTTTTTAAGAATTTATAAATGTAACGTATGTCATATTTTTAGTGGTTGGAGATATTGAAGGAATTTATAATAATTATACTTCAAATCAAAATTCAAACTCTATTACAGAAATGTATGCCATATTTGTTGGCGTTCATGCAGTTTGTGGTATGTCATTATTCTCCCACTAAGGGTTACCTCAACCAGTTCATCAAGTTAATAGTCCAACTCAAAAAATCTTTAATAATTTCACATCATTAATGGCAA